ACTCTGCGCGGAGATGGTTGTAGTATTCAGGGTATCCTGGCCTCAAAGTGGCGCTGGACATGCTGCACCTCGCCAGCATAGGCCTTCGCTTGCTTGGGATAGGAAACAACGACAACTACTGAGCGCTTGGTAACTGCGCCTAGCATATTCAGGCTTCAGTAAGGGAAGGCTCAGGCTGCAGACTAGGGGTCGCAGCTTTGGAGCCGTGGGTCCCTGCGTGGAGCTATCTGCTCTCTTTGCTCTCTCGCCTCGCCGCCGTTGGACAGGAGCAGCCTTGGCATTCGAGTTCGGTGCCAATGCAGCGCAACCACAAGCTTCCGACTCTGAACACACACACACACACACAAACAGCGACTGGAGTTTTTGCTGCAGCACGTGTACGAGCTTTCTTGCGCCCAGACGGCCCAGCCAAGCAGCAGATCGTCGAAGCAGGCGAAGGCAGGTGCAGACGGCGAGTGCACCGTGGCGATCAATGTGAAGCCATCACTGGCTAGCCCTTTCCTGGAAGCAGACCGGGAACCATGGTTTGCCAAGACCTACATGATCGGGCTTGCTATGTTCGGCCTCTGAGCACCTTGGGCCAGCGTAATAGTGTGATACTTAAGGACAACAGAATCACTGCTTGTTTGTTCGGCGATCGTTTGGTCTGGCGGGTATTTGCATCGTCTCCTTTTGGGGGTGGAGGGGCGCGGGCTTGCCATGTACACCTGCCAGTGAAAGACTTCCGACGGTCACAAAACAGAAGGCATACCCCTGCATGATACCAGTGGAGTCGCACACTCGAGATAGTCGTGAAATCCAAATGAAAAGCTAAAAGGCCAAATGCAAGACCAAAATAAATGAGACACGACTTACCAGCTCCACATGTACATCTAACAGCTGCTTGTCTTGGGCTCGAGTGGCAGCACGGCACAGAGCTCGGCCGCCATCTTCGAGTCCAAGCCACCTTTGACAAAGCAGAGAGCCGTACCGGTGTACTCGGGTGTAGCTATTGTAGCTGTAGGGAGTGTAGGGCCAGGGCCTTATGGCCTGAGCTGCTTAGCTGACAGCAAGGCACTCGTCGGCTCGTCGAGCAGCAGCAGAGCCGGATGGGAAATCAGGGCCAAGCCCACCTGGCTTAGGCGCACTCGGATCACTCGGCAAGCTTCGATCTTCTGACAACCTTCGATGCGTTCTACGGCAGACGTGGATCCGAGTCACATGCTGTACCTGTCTCAGACACACCCGACTGAGCGTCTCCTGCAGCCGGGCGGCACTCACCCTCCTGGCCTGGCCACCAGAAATACCACGGTGCAGCGTGCTACCTGAGGCACAGCATGTCTCCATTAACACAAGCTCACGTGTACCAGGCTGGCAGCGCACAGGGTGCGGAAAAACTCTAGACTCTAGCCGAAAGGTGCGCTTTACTCAAGATAGGAGGTGAAGCGAGCTGCCAATCTTGGTCTTCCGGCAGGACTCGAGCTGCAGCTTGTCCTGAGTCGCTTAGCAGGACCAGCCGACTCCAAGCATCATTGAAGAGTGAGAGGATGTAGTGATGTCGCCGTGCATCTCTTGGGTTGTGTGTAAAACGATGATGTGTCTGGACCCTTGACCACTAATCAAATCCTAATTCATCCAACTGAACACTGCCAACAGTAACAGCACCGTGTCCGAAAGCTGGACAGTTCCCAGCGTGCTGAAGCATGCTGATGCTGCATCCAGGTTCGATCAGCTTGTCCACGCGCTTTCGTTTGTCCTCGGCTCAAAAGACCCTCAGACACACGCCACATCCGCTACCCTTGGGACCCGGACCTGGTAGCTCACGGAGGACGAGAGCTTCAGCTCCGTGGTATACAGCAGCATCTGCTCGACCGTGAACTCTGGGAGTAACACGTTCGCCTCCGAGCTACAGGCGAGCTACGTGCCAAGCCCGGGCTTGGGTCGGGTGTTTTCGGACTTTTCGGAAGAAACCTCGAGTTGTAAAGGACAGCAGTGAAGCTGAAGGAGACAGAATGTGCGTGACCGAATTCAGTACGTCTTACGAGCGAAGCAATTCATCACATTCGCACAGTTCTGATCCGTGGAGATGCCGACTACTGCAAGCTTGCGTTGGTCGGTGCTCTGCATCCTGCCCGATGCCTCGCATCTGTAGGGTATCCGGAATGACTCAGCCACCGTACTCAATGCAAGACAGGTCCGGGTTGCAATCAATTGCAACCGCTCATAGCATGGGATGACGGCAGCCACAGCGCGCCTGCTCCACGTAGCCACAGAAGCGCTTCAGATTCCTCTTGGGGACCTGGGCTTTGGGCTGTCTACATCTGCAAATGCCTCCACACCTCCCCAATCTTACTCTTGTCAAAGTGGGTGGTTGTCAAAATTAGGGTCCCTTTTTGGGTCCTTATTTTAATACGGCACCTACTATTTAGGGTACCCCAAAAGGGACCATAATTTTGACAACCACCCAAGTGGCGAATTCCCAAGAAATCCTTTTTGGGCCCAGCTGCCGCCTCGCCTGCATACAAGACCTCACCCTGGATCTCACCAGCTCGGTCCTTCCGCCCGGCCAAGATGTCCAACCTTTGAAGCGTGTAGGCGTGAGCCTATATAGGGCTCCCAGGGTTTATGTCAATGATATCAGGATTGGGACTAGGATTCAAAGCGGCAGCCTATCCGTGGCTCCAAAGACCCATGAATCGGCGCCTTCATAGTAGGTTTCAAGGCTCGTTGGCGAGTCATGATCCGCATACAATCATCCAAAGCATCGAGCCCAACGCCTCACTGTACCGACATAAAATTGTTGAGGCGCAGCGTGGTCTTTCCTGCACCGCTGGGGCCCATCAGCGCTGCAAGGCGCCCTGGGTGGAAGGTGGCGCTCACATGCTTCAACACCTGCGGCCGCGGGGTAAGGTTGTCTGTACTGCAGCTAAAACTCGAAGGCATCAGTTTGAAGACCGCGGGCTATGGAAAGGTGCTCCAAGCAATGCAGTTGGCCTCATCTTCATCCTACTTCGTCCCTAGCAGCCCTAGCATGTGACTGTCCAAGCATGCCCAGGCAATTGCAGCTACGTCCGATGCTCCGTACAACACACATGATGTAGCAAAGTGTGGAAAGGGAAAGCAGAAACCCATAACATCCACGAGGGCCAGATAAAGCTAACAGCCCTGACCTTTTTGAACCCGCATGTTCCAACCTGGGAGCCCGAGAGCAGCCACGCAAACTAAGCATTCGGCCTGTTTCTGCTCCCCCTTGACCTGCAGAACAGCTGGCAGATAGATGTCTCAAAAGCCTGCTCTCTTTGGATCCAAGATACTATCCAGCAGAGTGACGACCGCCACTCGCTGCATCTACGACTTGCCAAAAACACTGACTCGGCTGACTTTGATTCTAGGATTCTGGAGTCAGCCGGAATTTCAGAAACCGCGAGGTCAAATACAGTGGGAGCAGAGGCACTTCAAGGACACAAGCCTTTGAAGGTCTGGGCCTCGCCTGCACGGTGTAAGAGAGGTCGCAGCAGCTCACCGACATCCCTGCTGCCAAAGTCCTTGCACCGTGGCACAGCAAAGAGGAGTCTTTGATGCTGCTTGCCACGAACCTGTGCAGTTCGGGCTAGCGCTTTCAGTGCCTGGGAACCTACGGTGCAGCAAACCAAGGCCATCACGGAGCGATCTGACATGCATGAACCATCTAGTCTTGGGATGCAGTGGCAACAGTGGGCGCCGGCGGGGCTGCTCAGTAGCGAGCAAAAGATCTGGGCAAGTGTGCGAAATGCTTTTATGAAAGGCAGCATTTCGCTTAAACAGGCAGGTAGCTGGTAGCTACGAACTTCGAGTTGAGCTACACAGCGGAGACACGACGGATAATTTGGCCAGCAGCTTTGAACACCGTGTGTCAGGAAGTCAATCCCGAACCCAGCCCTGCTCCATAGCCAGGATGAAGATCGATCACACCTCCACATCCTATAACTACAAGTGCAATGCGAACATGGCGGTCTTTGATGTTAAGGACGAGGACGTTGTGTCCAGCCTGGGCAGCTGAGTGGCCAGCAGGTGGCTTTCGCTACAATGGCTTTCACCGGCTTTCACCCCTACCCTGGCGCTGTTGTCGCGACAATGAAGAGTCACAGCATGGAACAAGCCTATCGATGCGGTGCATGGGTCTGTACGTCGATTTCGGCGGCTGAACCCAGGAGCCCGAAGAGATTCACTCCGCGGGCGCGCCTTGAAAAGACCATGGTCGCTGACGGGTGCTACAGGGGCTGGCGCTGGGCTCTTGGACTCTTGGGCCAAAGTGCGTGCCGACTGCTGCCCCGCCCATAGCTAGGACATTTTGAAACAAAGCCCGAACAGGCCAAATGAAGGCCACAAATAGCACGTAGGATGCTTACTAAAAGGACCCTATAAATGAGGTACTCCTGTATAGTCCGATAAGCCTGCACATCTGAACTGCCCCACTCCCAAGTCATGAGGCAGGACCCGAATGGGCTTAAGGATGCCAGTCTCTCGATCAGACTGCTGCTGCAAGGATGTCTGAACCCTGTTGGGTCTCCTCGTGCTGAACAAGCCTGAAAAGCCGTGCTTGCTGCATGGGCCACATTTCGTGCTTGTGTGCCTCCGAAATTTTAGCTGTGCACCACTTCTATGCCTCCATGCAGCCCTATCATGTACGAAGTTGCAGCATGATGGTCTTGGAGGCAAGCCCCCGAAGCTTAAACAAGTATAAGTTAAGTCTCTATCAAGGGGCCGGGGGAACTGATAAGCAGGGCGTTAGCCCTGCTTGAATGAAGCTGCCGAAAAGTCGATTTCTGGGCTTCTGGCCGAAGACCGAAGGTTCAAAGGCCCGAGCGAACTTATGCGAAAATCCTTTAGCATGGTGCTACAGGGAATCATCCCAAACACACCAACAAACAAACGCAGGACAAAAAACGTAAGAAGAACTACTGGAAACAATCCGCTTGCGAAGCCGAACATGTCTGCTCATGACATCTCCAACTTATCGTTATTTGGGCCAACGAGGGCTCCTCCGCTGTCGGAGCAGCAACCGCCTCCAGAACCACTTGCTGCCTCGGCACCGCGATTTTGAATGGAAGTTCTCTCGGTCTCGATTCACTGTCGATGTTTCGCGGCATCATTTAGAGCGAGAGCAGCCCGGAGACTGGCTGTCAGTTGATCTTCGTGCGGTGATGGGCATTAAATGTGCGTAATCCCAACGGTGAAGGCAGGCGAGGGTCTCCAGTTGGGGATTGGGAGCCTCGTTTGGGATGAACACGGGTTGAGTGTTCAAACCGTTTGTAGGTGAGCAAGAAATTCAAAAGATGTTGAGTAGGCTGGCAGTCAGTCTTTCAAAATGCCCTGGGAAGTTCTTGCCACGCACCCGAAGCCCAGGCGAAGCTTTTTCGTTGCCTAGTAATGCAGACCAGCAGCTCCAACGCTTTGGCTCTATCAGCCCCTCCGTCCTGAACACGGTGATCATAGGGGGCGGTTCAGATCCGGTAGAAATGAAATCTACACGAAACAACTCAGAAATCCTCCTCGACAATTCAGAACTGCGCGAATACGCTGCTAAGACGTGGCAGCTTGGTGCGCATGGCTTGCAGCACAACTCAACCATCGGAAGCATCGCAATCACAGCTGCAAGCTAAGATGTGCCAATGAAATTGTCAGGGACTGTAGCCTACTTACAGCTTTTGCGCGCGTGTTTGTGTGTGCGCGGGTGGGACAAAGAGAAAGTACAGGCACTTGACTCCCGACAATCTTTTTCATTCGTCCGACTCTGTCGCCGTAGACTCCTCCGACTCACTGTCGTACACAGCCGTGCCAAGAAGCCTTCCAAAGCTTTGGAATATGGCAGGAGATGATCACATGGAGTGTGGGGTGGCCGGCTTCGACCCGGGGCAGTACCAGCCCAAAACCACACATTAGCAACACCAACCAGTGTTCCGGTTGAGCCGAGGGACAAGCATGCACAACAAAGCACACGAACGCAGCATTCTGCAATTCTGAGCATATCACTCTTCATTCGCTACTTCTGAGCTACATGACGAGAACCATCCCAATGCCCAACCATTCCCATCCTGTGCAGTGTAAACCTTCGACTGACGGCCGTACATTCTGTGATCTAGAGTTGTTAGATGCTAGTAAAGCAATGGCATGCAGATCTAGTGATTCTATAGGTCTGGCAAGAAGCTCAGACACTGTCATTTACATTGTCCCTTTTCTCTGGAGACAAGTACACCACGCGGTTGCTCAGTGTATAGGCATCCAGCTCTTTCCATTGATTTATATAACTCAGCTCAAGCCACGGATTCGCCAGCCGCCGACGCTTGTTTGCCGCCGGTGTTGATGCCGCGGTCTGCTTCACCAGTCTGCCAGGCATTCTCAGAAGATGACAAAAGCAAAGGTGCAAGCAGACGCTGAATGATGCAGTCCAAAAGTCTTTGCTCCATGTCCTGGTTGTAAGATTTGGATTCAATGACGACGCAAATCTATCCACAGCAGCGTGTGAGGACAGGGAAATTGCCGAGGCAGCTGCTTTAGTTAATTCAATCTGAAGACAGACCGTCCATCTTGCGAAATCCGACGACACCCCAGCCGCAAATCTCCACTGTGACACGTCGCATGCCCATGCTTTGAACAGGCCGACAAGCCTTGGAGATGTTCACGTAAACTGCGTGCCTGGTCAGCTCCTTTGGCTGCTCGGCGAAGGCCCATCGTCCAAGCGTCGCCACTCCGCCATCGCCTCTGCTAACGGCGCTTTCAAGCCTTCTCCCTCTCTCTGTTGCTTCGACACGGTGTAATTCCAGAGAAGTCTGCCAGGGTTGGTTTTCACCTGGGCAAACGGTGCATTCGATATCCGCTGAATCGCCAACCAAAAATCTGTCCGAACCTCGTCATCTTGATGTGTTCAGGTCTGGAACGCACACACACACACACATTCAGAGCATGTGCATGTATGCATGTGTATGTCTGTCTCCGTCTTTCTGCCTGCTTGTCTGCCTGCCTGTCTCTATATTTAAATATTCTAAGTTATATATATATATATATATTTTTTTTGGTTTTATTATGTTTAGTTAGTGAATATTAGTTTTATGCTTGCAGAAAGCAACGGCAGCTAAAACCGCCGGGGCCGCGGCTCAAACGCCAAAGCCTGGGCTCCTCGTGCAGGCTTTGGGCCTCGGAGTCACACTCCCAGAGACTGGTGATGCGATCTGCAAAGAGAGGCTCCGACATTCAATTCAGGAATCTGCCTTACTGACGCATATCGGAGGTTCCGGGAACCCACCTTTCGAAGGGTGGTCAAAAGCGAAAGGACATGACCTGAGGTGGGCTCCATACCGAGCCGAGCGTGTGGCAGTTTTCTGGGTGCCAAGCGATGTACTTGCTGACAAAAGCGTCGCGATCCATGCCGGCAAACAGCCCCGCGCAGGAACCACGGTACACTCCTCCGGAGTGTGAAAGAGGACGCAAGTTGCGGAGGCTTTCCGGCACCTGCTTTAAGCTCAAGGCTTCGGGCTCGCTCCAGCTCCTTCCACTTGACTCATTGCTTCGACATCCGCGGCACCGCCCGGCTTGGCCTCAACAGACGGGACGATTCCGTTACAGGGGGTCGGCTCTATGCATCGTAACCAACAGATGTAGCAGCAGCAGTGATAGCAGTGGTCTTATCAGCGTGTACGGGGACGAGCTGGGCTCGCAGTCCGTGAAATGCAAGCAACTCATGCTGACGTGCACCTCTTTCTTGCACATGCTTGCAGATGCGGGCTGCGAGTCTATGGGCTCAATGGAGGAAAAGTTGGGTTGCTACGCCATTTCTCTCGAGTGAAGGGTCATGCACAGGCCATGCTCTTGCGCTCTGCAGACCGTGAGCTTTCCGCGCCCTTAGGGTTGTTTAGTTTTTGGTCGCTTTGGGTCTTAGTGTGTTTGTGCTCGCAACTCCCGGGGAGTTTTCTCCTGCGGTCTTTTGAGCAGGTCCCTTCCAGCACCTTTTCTCTTTGTGTCATACGTGCCGTGAACCCCTGTGTTCGTGGAAGACAAGAATAATGGCGGAAGATTTGCTTCGTGCACTGCGAATCGTCCATGGTTCTAAGCACAGGATTGATGCTGAACAGATCCCGCGACAATTCGGAACCAAGTCTCAAGCAGCACGCAGCCGTCTGTTGAAAGCTGCCTTTGCTGTCAGCAAATCAGACAACGTCTCGTGGCCTTACGTAGGCCGAAGGCCCCTTCACTAGAAAGAAGATCTCCCCCAGACCTTCGGCCATTCTCCCCCCCTAGACTCTACCGGCCGGCCTGGCGGCAGACTTTCACATTTGAAGCGTGGGCGGGCACAGACATGACTGGACAAGCTTTTGCAAGGCTCCAAACACCCGACATCCCTTCTAGAAGAGACCTGGCCGGAAAACAAAGATTGAGCAAACGAAGTGGCTGGGCCGAACAAAGACCATGCCTTCTCCGGCACCGCCACTCGAAACTCTTGCATGCCTTTGGGTCTTGGGCCCCTCTAAAGCTAGAGTAGAACTGACAACTCAGAGCAGCTGGTCCCGAAAGACAGCGGACTTCGGCATCAGGGCGAGCTCCGCGCCGACGCCTCAGCATTCAAGACAGAGAGAGAGAGAGAGAGAGAGAGGGAGGGAGAGGGAGAGGGAGAGAGGTGAGACAAGCCAGGCGGCAACAGGAGGCCTGGAAAGTGACTCATCAAAGCGATCGTAGGAAATAGATGCAACGACGAGCCGATACCGGTATTGCCATTGCCCGCTTGGGCACTCCGTGCTTCATCTTCCAGCAGCTCCACCTGGGCACTCTGCGACAAGTCTCGACACGAGACGACACACCAGCATGTGACCGAATATGGGTGCCTGTCTCGGCAAGAAGTTTTTCCTCGTACAAACGTGCCTCATAAATTTGCACACGCATTGGAGGCATTAGTTGCTTTCAATATACAAATCTGTCTGCTCTGTCATATGGCATCTACCAAACTCTCTTGCAAAGTCGGCATCCCATATTCTGCTGTAGGACTCTGAATCTAGGCCACGTTAGCTCGGGGTTCACATCGGAGGCAAAGCCCTCCTCAGCTACACTCCGGCGACTCCGACCGGCGATGGTCGACTTTTCCCGAGCTTAAGCTTCTCGAGTGGGAGCCTTTGTTCAATCTCATACCTGGGTTGTGACCACAGCCGTATCGGCCATAACCACATCAGTCCAGTGGACCCCTCCAGAAGCAAGGCCTGAAGTCGCCAAGAACAAGAAAACACTTCCGAGCTGCGCTGGTGTTGAAATCCCCAGCGGCCAGCAAAGGTCCGGCAAGCCAGCCTCGATACTCAAAGTCGCCCCTGTACACCCGGCAGAGACTTCTTGATTTTGTCTATGTGCTGGCAAACCTGGGGCGGCTTGGGTCTGAAGGGGCATAGTATTGAGTCATTGAGTTTCTGACGCCCATGCTGCAGGAAGCTGGAGGCTCCCTGTGCACGAACTCCGAAGACCCCCGCCAAAAGACTCCTGCAAGCCTCACCGTAGCCCTCTCCGAAAGGCAAGCAGCCCCCGAGACGGCGCAAGAAGGCCTTGGCAGCCTGGAGACTTTCGCCTCGGCCGGGATTGCGCTTCCGATCTCTTCGGCTTCTGGAGAGAGGGCATCTCAGTCTCCCGAGACCTCCTTTGCCTAAACAGAAGTTCTGTCAGGTCCAGTGGCCATACCTCGGCCCGCCCGGTGCATCCACGAAGGGCAGGTGGAAGCCTCAGCGGGAAAGCATTTTCCAAGCGCGCGTGCCTTTGCACGCAAGCTACAGTCAGAGCGTGAATGCAGAACCCTGACCGTCGTTTGCTGGTGCCTTCCGCGGTGTTGAAGCGTTCTCTCTCTGAGACCCGATTTTAGTCTCGATAAGCTTGCGGACAGCAGTGCTCGGCTCGCACTGGTACCTTGGCGCCTGGAGCCCCGCAGCCTTCTGGGACCAAGTAGAAACAAAATTATGGGAAAATTATCATGCCCGTCCTGACTTCTGGATCGTACCCGTGCCGAGACGCTGAGCACACTCAGCCGCCAGTCAGATCCGTTGAGCACCTGATTTTCAGAAGTAAGGCCAAGTAGGGAGTCAGTCGCTGAATCCAATGGTAGACGAATCCAAAAATCCCGAGTAGTCTCTCTCAAGACAGGGCATGTTCCTTTGTGTGAAGCTGGTTCCTCGAACACCACACGCAAGACCTTTGCAGTTGAATCCTCGAATGTCCTGCACGGACTGAGTGGGAATCTTGGAAGGCAAGCAAGGTGCCAAGCCCAGGCCAGGAAATGAGACGGAGACCTCGCAAAACAAGCCCCCACATGCGAAGATCGGTCATGAAACCCCTCACGAACAAAGGATATTCGTTGCTTACACTGTCGCAGCGGGTGCAGATAAGAGCTGTCAGCATCCGACCACCTACGGTTGACTGTGCAGTACAACTGCTTCGTCTACATCCTAAAGGCCTCTTGTGGCGGATCCGTCCAGATGTCACCAGCCCATGCCTCAAAAAAAACAAGCGTTTGCTGTGTAAGCTGACGTAAACCATGGGTCTTGGCTCCCTCGTCGTCGCAGAGCTTGGTGGTCATTGGTGCTGATGCTGCGTGAGCTGCTTATCTGCTGGCCATCCGTTTCGATGATGACACTTGACATTATCCTAGACATCCTGCATCCAATTACGTATGTGGCATGGCTTAGCTGCATACCCTTAATCTGGTCTAATGCCCTTGTCCGCCCTGTATCCATCAACATCCTGCAGACCAGCAGCCACCGCGTTGCAATAGCTTGCCAGCTCGATGGCCCCACCCTGAAGAGATGGGCTTGGAGCCGCAACTCCCAGCCGGATCTTTTCTGGTTCTCTGTGATCCAAAAGACCAAGCAGGAGCGCTTGATTCAGTTCATAAACGCCGGGCTAGCTGCTTGACTGATTGCGAAGATGACAGAGTGGTTGTGTCCAGCAGGTGATTTGGAAGGTGGCTTTGCAATGGCTGATTTTACAGAGGGGGTGGGCTATTAAGTGGGGTGTGCTTGGCCGGAGATATCATGCTGAATCATGGGTCCCGATATTTTTTAATGTTGCAGAGAGGGACAGGACTGCAAAGCTGACAAGTGTTGCGGGCTGGCATGAGATCATCCTTCAATGTCCTTCGACATGTCCTGCTATGTCCTGCTAGGCAAAGCTACTTCAGGAGCTCGCTCACCACTCACAGCTTGACCTGAATCAACCTCAAAGCCTGCTTCGCTGGTGTCCTTGGTTTTGCCAGAGCCCACTGCAAGCTGCACTGAAGCTCTGGTTTGGCGAAGCACCGCCAGGAATTCCTGCTTGGCAATGCCGATGGATGTCTCGGGTGTAGGAGGGAGTCTAGCGGCTAGCCTCTTGCCATGCAGCATGATACACCGCTGCACTTCGAGCCATCCGTCCTCCTGGAGCAGTGGGTGCGCTGGAAACTCCTGGAAACCTTGCTGCATCGGGCCGAAACCCTTGCGCCGCATCACGATCAGGGTTCGCAGCCCTGAATGACCCTTTTGCATCAGGACTTGTGCAATCGCCTGAAGGTCTGAGCATACACAGGAGGTTCAGCTCTCCCTGAATAACCCTAGGCCCCATAACGTTACCCCACAACTGCATATGCCATGATGCTGGCGACCCAAGCGCTGGCAGCAGAAGCTAGCCACCTTGAAGGAGGCTTGTTTCGGAGTTGATGGATTCGCAGCTGAGGAGGCGCATATGCCTGAAGGGCTTCCACGGTGTATGCTTTGAGGTATCGCTGCACAGACACAAGGTGTTCAAGATCACGAGCCCAGCATTTAGCTTTCTAGAGTAGCTCGGCTGGAGGGCATCCAGCAGTTCTGGAAGCAGTGTGGCCGGACGGCAATACCAGGCACGATGCTTGCCTTCAGCTTAGCCGGGATGAGCCAATTTCAGCACGATAGGTTTAGGCAGGGTGCGCTTAGGGCTAGAAAGGTTGGTGGATATGGTGACAGGTCGCTTTGCCACAGCTGGCGCCACCCGATCGCGCAGGCGCAGCGCATATGCCTCCGGAGTTTCGTCACCTGAGGCTGCATTCTAAGCAGTTCACAGTGGGTCCCTGCTCATTAATAACTTCGAACAGACCAAGCGACGTGGCACTAGTAACTAGGACAGGAGCGCAAGAAACCACAAAGGTCAGTGATTTTCCGACGACGTCAAAAGGGAAGCAAACTCTGCCGCTTAAGCAATCCAAACGGAAGCGCACTAGTGGAAGACTTTTAGGGGCCAAGGCCATGCTTGCTTTCTGACACTGGAAAGAGACTGGCGGCGGCCTCGCTGCTCATTGACTTTCCAGCCGAGACACAGTCCAGGCCGTTGTTCGTCAGCGCACGGCCTTCGAGCGCCGTCCCCTGGCGGCCCACCTGCCCCGAGCGGCCTCGGCAAAGCTCACGGCGATTTTGGGAAGATTTGCGGCGCCTTACCGATCTTGCGAGCGCTTCGGGTGTAGCGATCCTTTTTCCGAGACGGTGCAGGTTGTCGTGCCGCAACATGGAGCTTGACTTTGAAGCTCGAATTTCTGAAGGAACTGCGACGGCACCAAGTTAGCATGAGTCTCACACAAAAACAACTAAACAAAGGTAGCGGGTATCAGTTCACAGATGAGAATCAGTGGTACAGACTATAAAGCCAAAGGCTAGCCTCGGAGATGCAAGACATTCAAGCCACTGCACCTCGATTGCACTGCGAGAGTGGATGCTGTCGCTCCATGGCCGTTTCAAGCCGTAAGGCTGCACACTATGTGCAACTACCCCCCGAACATGTCGCGAAATCAGAGGGAAAATGCTGGCAGTCACTGGGCTAGTCGCTTCCCGGGGCTGCGCATGCCAGCTAAGTTAAAAACAGGTCTGAACAGCCTCGGCTTAACCGAAACCTTCGTCAGAACGAAGTTCGTTATCATCCAGCTGACGCGGGCTTGCAGGTCAAAAGCCACATCGTACTCTGAGCTATCGTGTCCACTCCACGACAAGTTCGTTCCTAGTTGCTTCTACGCGTTATCGTTTTTTCGGAACCGGGTCCTGGTGTGCAAAAGGTTCGATGAAAGAGTGTGTAAACATGCGATGAACAAAGAAGCTGTTCTGCAGAGAAGCTGTTTGCACTGGTATGTACAGCACTTTCTGCACATGGAGGAGGTAGGTTCGAGACGTCTGGTTATGTGTGAGAGAATGGAACAGAGACGGTGTGGATCTTGGGGGGTGACCATAGATTTTTGGCTCCCGCATGGCATCGTCCGAAGGCTATGCATGGCCGGTGACAAATGTGGGACGGGGCATGTTGCCGCTCTTGTTGCTCCAGCAACCATAGATGTATATATATATATATACACATGCCTATATATATGTATATACACACGCATATACCTATATGTGTATATTAATACATATACTACTAACTAAATACATACAATATATGTATGTATGTATGTATGTATATATATATATATATTATACATGCTAATATATATATATATATATATATGTATATTTTATGCGTGTGTGTATTCTCTGACATACATACGTACATACATACATACATACATACATACATACATACATACATGCATATGTGAATAAATATATGTACACACACACACGCGCATACACAAACTGCGGTAATGTAGCATAAGCCCATAACACAGAGCCCTAGAAGTACCCAGGACAGATACAGTTTCCACTTCAGCTTTTGACCTGCAATGTCCTAGCCTGCCGGCCGTGCTGTGCAGCTTGGATTCTCCTGGCTGCAAGCACCAGAGCTTGTGCCGCGAGACTTTCGTTGCTGAAGGACCGATACTCCTCCTCGGCTAGGGC